GGCACTTAACAACAACAACAACAATATCTTCCCATAAATTATAGGTAAAAATACTTCTCTTGCTGAGATTATATACAAAGAATGAGAAGAGAGGTGAAAATATTTATAAAAGAAAAAAATTCTGTATTTTGGTAATTTCACCTTGCAGATTTATTGGTTGAATAAGGTTATTCCTAACAAAATACCATTGAATAATAACTAGATTTTGGAGCAGCAATGATTTTTTTTTTTTAATTGTTAAGTTTAAATGTTGAATCTGTCCTATTTCCAGTTCTATTCTTAATGCTTATGATTTCTATGCATTCTTTTCCAAACATCCTCGATAGTGGGTAACTTTCACAACTACGAGATTTTATTATTTGCATTTTCCATGCACTTATATGTTGAAAAACTTCACAATTTTAGTAAGAAATATCAATTTGGTGAAAGTCAGAAAGTCCTTATATACATCTGTTCAAAAGATAGACTACTTTAAATGGTCTCATACAGACCCTAATCTATTTTTTAAATAGTATTTATGTTATGAAGATTCGTATTTACAGAGGGTTCTCTGTAAAGTCATTAAATTTCAAATAGTGTAATCTATTACCTGAACAAAAGCTGTGTCTGTGGTTATATATTATCTAGCTAATTCTAGCCTGGTAGAACTTGTGGTTCACTTTACCACTTCATTGATTCATGTCAATACATTACATCAGGAGGGGAAAGTATGATCTAGAATCATGTGAAATGCCATACCACACATATCAGGGGCTTCATCAGAGTTGTCTCCACAGTCATCTTCTCCATCACATACCCAGAAATGTAGTTTGCAAAGGGAATTATTGCAAAGAAACTCATCAGCTCTACATATATTTCCTCCTTTAATGTGTAACAAAAGAGAGAGAAACACTCATCATAATTTACCCAGAAAGTAGAATACATATCCATTTATTGGTACACAGTATCTATAGTTTCTTATTTTCTTCTATTTATCTTCTTGTTTTGTTTCATTTTGCATAATACTATGAGTTGTTGTCAATTTGATTTCAATTCATGACAACCACATATGGATCAGAGTAAAGTTTTGCTCCATATAGTTTTCAATGGCTGATTTTTGGGGAAACAGATTTTCAGGTCTTTCTTCCAAGGTACCTCTGGGTGGACTCAATCTGGCAACCTTTTCAGTTAGCAGCTGAGCGTATCAGCTTTTTTACCACCCAAAGACTCCTGCATAAGACTAAACAAAACAACAAACCAAATTCACTGCCATTGAGTAGGATCCGATTCATAGCAACCGTTCCTTGGGTTTCCAAGGCGGTATCACTACAGAAGTAGATCATCCAATCATCCTTCTGAGGAGTGGCTGCTGAGTTTGAACCACCAGACTTTTGGTTAGCAGTCAATTGCCTTAGGCACTACACCGCCAGGAGTAGATAATATCCAATTTTAAATAAATAAATATATATATATGAAATGCCATTTCAAACCACTCTGATATTACCCTCATATTCTCTAAAAAAATTAGAAACATGGCAAGAGAAAAATTTTTCCTCAAAATTAAATTGTTTTATTCCATTCCACTTCATTTATAAAATACTGAGTATAAATAAATTAAAATTTTTAAGAATATTAATTTTTATTATTTAAAGAATATATTCTTCTATCAAGAAAAGATATATTTTTTTTAGAATTATAATGAGTTAAATCCAGAATACTGAGAAACTGGATCAGTGAAAACTTAGAATAAATGAGAAAGCTTTTGTTTTCTTTTTTCTTAACAGTAACACACAAATGACTGTATAATCAAAGTGGAATTGGTCATATCACACTTTTACCTGTTAGTCTCATGGAAATCATGTTACAAAGCACTGTATTTTCTAAATGCTTCCTTTCTTTTCACACACAGAAAAGAAATTATCAGTAATATTTTAACTTAGAATTGCTAATCATATCTACTATATGCAAAGTACACCAAAGTATTAATACATTTTGACTATATGTCTAGAGATATAGCAATATAATTGCATTAATTAAGGAGTTAGGTTCTATGCAATCTTGTCTTGCTTTGGAAAAGTCATTTAATTTCCAAGCGCTCCAGTGTTCTCATATGTTAAAGAAGAAGTATGTTTAAAATGATTTTTACCTTAGGAACAGCATAAAGAAACTTGATGAGAATTTAGAAATAAACAAATAAGATTACCCTCTGAGAATTACACAATTTACCTCAAGCTCATAAATCAGATAAGGCATATGACTGCCATGTTAGCTAGATTTGACTGATTGAAGTTATTTCATATTTAATAATGAATATGTCCATTAGAACATGAGACTAGAGAGTGATGATGGTTATTCTTGGAAACGTAGAAAAATATCTACAAATAGGCATTGCTCACCTTGTGAATGTACTTTGGAGGGAATCTAGTCTTGTGAGGAGCAAATAGATCTTTTTTATTTTAAATTTTGTTTTGCTATAAAAATTTCTAATAATTCACTTCTAATGGTAAAGGATTTCATCCCTGGGTAGCACAAACGGTATGTGCTCAACCACTAACCTCAGATTTGGTGTTTCAACCCCACCAGGCAGTGCTGCAAATGAAAGACCTGGCAAAATGCTTCTGAAAGATCACACCCATGAAAACCCTATCAAGCCATTCTACTCCATAACACATGGGCCTGTTATGAGATGGAATTGATTCAATGCTTTTTTTTTTTTTTTTCCCTGTAAATAAGAACAGTTTTTATCTTTGGTAAAAAGCCTCCAGTTATCACTAAATTCAGTCAGATTTGCATTTTAGAACAATCAAACTAGCTTCAAATTGGAAGTGAGGATAAAGGGAGAAATATCAGGATTGGATGAAAGAAACCAATTTGAAAGTATGGTTGTGGCAGCCCAGAAAGGGCTGACCATAATTTGATTTAGATTAGCAACATAGGAGATGGTATATAATACTCAATTTTTTATTTGGGACACTTGGTGAAAGTTGGTGTCATTCAATTGAAAAAAAAAAAAAAAAGATCACAGCAAGAAGAACAGGCTTAGGAGAAATAATGACATATTTCTTTGAGGTACTGGTAAATTAACCAAGTGATGATGTCTAGCAAACCAATGGATAAATGTGTCTGAAGCAAAGGATTGGATTCTGAAATACACATGTCCTTTCAGGAATCATCAGATTAGCTATTATTTGAAATATAGGAGATAACAGAGAGGAACTCTACATTTAAAAATTGAGTAGATAAAGAAGAAACTGCAAAAGGAGATAAAGAAGTGGCCAGAAAGTTGGAGAAATCCCAGGAAAGGTGATATTCCACAACGTATGGGGGAGGGGGATGTGTTGTAACAAGAAAGTAGTAGTTAGCACATTCAAATGATGCCAAGAGTGGAATGGTAAGGGTTTAGTGAGATAACTATAGTTGGTAATTAAACAAGAGAGGGAGGAAATAGTGGTGAGTGTAGATATTTCTTTTCTGAAATTTGATCATCAAGGGGAGAGAAAAGAAGTAGTAAGAACCTGGTTGCTTGTAAGGGGGAAAATAAATACATGCACATTTTTAAATGATGTCGAGAATAATCTAAAATACAAGTGATCTTTAAAGAAACAGGAGAGAGAAGAAAAGAAAAAAAAATGAAAGAAACAGAAGAGAAAAAAAGGTTTAAAAGATTATATTTAAAAAAAAAAAAAAACCTCACTGAGCAACCCCTCGTGCTTCTGAGGCCAGACCACTAAGGAAGTAGATTGCCCAATCTGCCTTCTGAGGAATGGCTGGTGGGTTTGAACCTCCAGCCTTCTGGTTAGCAGTCAAATGCCTCAGGTACTTCACCACCAAAGCTCCTAAAAATGAGGTTTTTGAAAACCCAAAGAGTATGAGGGAGTCGAGATCTAGAGCAAAAAAAAAAAAAAAAGGATAAATCTCAGAGTAGAGATGAGACAATGTTTTTATTTCAAGAAGAAAGAAAAGACAAACCTAAACACAGCTGTAGGTAGTTTGTTAATTAGGTGTCTAGGTATTGCAAAAGCTGATGACTTCTATTGTTCCTGTGAAGCAAATGGTTAAGTGTACCCAGCAAAACTGTAGCTCATCAAAATGGCTCCCAGATTCCATCATGTTTAGCCAAGTGCAGAATAATGCAAAGTCACCCCTGCCCCCTCCCTTTTCCCTGTGGGCCACATTCCTCAGTTAATAGCAGCATCTTCTCATGGACACATACTACCAGACCCTGTCCTAGACCCCACTACCAGAGGAGCTCTGGTAGCTTAATGTCTAAGGCACTTGACTGCTAACCAGAAGGCTGGCGGTTCAAACCCACCAGCCACTCCTCGGAAGGAAGATGGGGCAATCTACTTCTGTAGTGATACTGCCTCAGAAACCCAAGGAGGGGTCGCTATGAGTAGGGTCTGACTCGAGGGCACATAACAACAACAACAACAAATCTCATACCAGGCATATAACCGCTAGTTTCTCAAGCAGAGGTATAAATAATTCTGGAAAGAGGAAAGGGTTTAGCAGACTCAGAAATTGACCAAACGGCCACTGCTGGATGTGAGATTACTTTTCTTGTAAGCTCCCTCCCTCACTCTTTGGAATAAAACTCATGTGTCTAAGCATGCCTCTGGTGCTGTTTTAGGGGAGCTCTGGTAGCATAGTGGCTACGGCACTTGACTGCTAACCAGAAGGCTGGCGGTTCAAGTCCACCAGCCACTCCTCGGAAGGAACATGGGGCAATCTACTTCCGTAGTGATACTGCCTCGGAAACCCAAGGAGGGGTCGCTATGAGTCGGGTCTGACTCGACGGCAAACAACAACAACAACAACAACAACCCTTACCATTATGAGCCTTTTGAGCCTCTTGGTTATTACCTAGAAAGCTTGACAGCCAAGAGCCAGGAGACTGAAAGAGCCCCAGAGGCCTCGGCGAATATGGGTGTGTGGGGAATCCCAAACTAGCCTTAGGCATCAATGTTTGGGCCACTAGCTCAGGTGTTAGACATCTGGGGACCTGAGTATGAGTACAGGGATGACCCAAAATGTCACAAGACTTGTTAGAGCTCTTGCAGGGATAGGAGTTTAAAATGCCAAGGATAGCAGGCCACCAGTCACTGTTGTAGCCTGGCCACTCCTGTGTGTGGTACGCACAGCTACAAAAGCTGAGCTAGCCACTGATGCAAAGGTGCACTGGCTGCAGGATGACCTCTGGCTAGAAAGAGAAGCCAAGGTACCCAGACTAAGACCACTGAAAACTTGGCTTCCTGGTTACAGATTTCTGATCAGGCAGTAGCAAAGCTTGCCTGCAGGTCAGCCAAAGTGAAAGGGCCAGAGCTTCAGCAGCAGCAGGCTCATGCTGTCATCACAAAAGCTAGTTGTGACCCGAAGAAATGTAACTCATTGGAGTCTTCAGTCTTGGAAAGGATGTAGAGGAAGATTGTAATGAGGAATTTGAGGTAATCACCCAACTCAAGTTTTGGCCTCAGGTTATCACTAAATTCAAAACCAGTAGGGCCCCATCCCCAGTGGGTGGATCCCAATGATCTACCCTGGGGAGAATGGCAAGAACACACTACTGTGAGAGACTATGCCATCACGGGATAGTGGAATTGGCTACATGTTATCAACAAAAAGGCTGAGAGTATCATGGACATAAGTCCAAGAGAGAGAAAAAACTCAGCCTCACTGTGAGAGCCTCCAGCAAGCCTCAGGAGCAGACAAAATCAAAACAAAAGGGTCCTTTGAAGGTATCCTGGCCAGCTTTGGGCAGATATTATACTCACAGGCACTCACAAAGAGAAAATAGATAAAGGGCCCAATGACACCCTATTGCAGCTTTGGCAGCTTTTGAAGTCCAAACAACAGTTCCCTGAGGTCAAAGACGTGACCCCTCC